TTATATTCGCTCATTATATTCCTTATGGTGAAGACAGTGGATAATGATGTTACCTGACTATAATAGACTTAATAGACTTAACATTATTGTTACAGTGGATGAAGGGGGAGGGGTGTCTAAAGTCAAAGATGAATCTTGATTGGGCCAAATTTGACCCCGAGTCACCCAAAACAATGCTGCTGGGTCTCCCCAGACCCGAACACCAAATTATACACTTTTTTTTTATAGAGACTTTCATCCTTGGCTAAAATGATCAAAATCAGTTTTGTAGAGTTTATATAGCTGTTGTGGAGGATATCATGAAGCCTTGTTCCGATAAAAAAAACTAGAGCGTAGTTATTATATAATTTGAACTTGAAACGGGTCACGGGAGACCCGAACACAACATAAGGGTTAAAGTGACATACACATTTTCCCTGGCTTAAAAGCAAAAGGGGATACTGTTCCAGTTTAAATTTGACGTTTTTAATATGTGAATTTCTGATTCCAATTGTGTGTACTGGGCATTTAAAAAAAAAAACAAGGACACTGTTTACCGATTCAAATCACAGACCAGTTTAGTCGACTTGTATTGTTACAGGTCTACGTGTTGCAGGGAGCTTTGATAGTCTGATCATTTGCTGTCACCACATCTGGACCAATTACCAAAAAGCTTTGCCAACTAGATGAGTTTAGAATACAAACTCTGAGTCTGATAATCGCTAATGATACATAACCAATGCAATGTGTGCTTATTGAAAGTAGGACGAAAAACATGTTGTAATACTGTTTGCAGTCTATAGAGGCCTAAAACTTCCTTTATCGACATTGTTCAGACATCTCCAAACAAACCAGTTGTTAAATGTCAGTGAACTGATGCCAAAGTTAATGCCCCGCCCTGAGGCCTGAGGCTGAGTTTCCACAGAGGAAAGTTGTCTGATGGCTGCATTAATCAAAATTCATAGGCTATAGTATATTATTTATTCAGACAGAGGAGATTCAAAATATTATGTTGGGTAACACTTTATATTAAGGTACACACATTCACCATCAACTAGTTGTTAATTAACATGCATATTAGCAGTATATTGGCACCTTTATTAGTCATTATAAAACACTTATTAATTCCTTATTCTACATAACCATATTCTACAAGTAATAAGCCATTAGTTGAGAGTTTTTCCTCAATAACCCTCTAATTAGTGCTTATTTATTGCAAGTAAGGAAGTTGTTGTACACGAGTTTTGGTCTTAATATGCTCTGCTCAATATTTGACTTCCTGTTGACGGCTGTTTGTCCCGCAGCTCCCCGGCTAAACAGGCCGAAACTCACTCAGCCAGTCCAACATCTACCAGCATCAACAGTCTTCAAATGCCAACTGCTGCCCACCCAGAGTCCTGAAGCTTATTTGTACCTTTATATGCATGTTAACTAGTTGATGGTGAATTTGTGTACCTTAATATAAAGTGTTACCAGCCTGATGAACTCAGTTAGTTTTAGGTTCCTTTTGAGAGAAACCAATGTGTCTTATTCCTTTCAACTACTACCTGTTACTGCAGCTCTTTTTAGAGGGATTTTGATTCTCAACTTTCAGAGTTTTCCTGACTTTACATGAGGTGAAGATGTTACTGTATGAGTTTATTTTGTTAAAGCGAATCACTGAGCTCTGTAGGCACTCTATGAGAAGCAGAAGTGTAAGAATACTTTATATCACTTACTACCCATAGCCCAAACAATCTTCCTGGTTAATTAGGATCATTGATGGATGCCTTTAAGCATTTTTAGGGTTGTTAGAAAAATGTAAACTGTTGTAACATCAGGATTATTTTTTGCTTCCAACTAAAATCTCTTGACAAAGAAATATGCAGGTAGCATGGTCATTGTTGGACTATTACATTGAACGGGAAAAACCCATTTGTCCTTGGTCAACATTAGAGTTTATCCTGTACATGTTTATCACAAACTGTGTCTCCTCATATATCAGTGTTTGGTGTACAGTACAGTGACTCCATGCTTATCTTTCCTTTGTGTTGTGCTCCATCCAGTGGACACTCTGTGCCAGAACACCAGGAAGTGGTGGATATGAGGGTGGGACAAGTCCCCCCCACTTTTTCAAATGATTAGTTTAGACCCCCCCACTTTTACTATGCGGAAAGTCCGTGAATCGGTCTATCCACTCGCCGCACTTTGTAGAGCGCTGTGTCAGTGCTTCACTATCAAATGAAATCCATTCCACTTGCGAATGAGAGAATGCCCAAATCAATGAAACTCCGTACCATGTTTTCACTGCTACTTTGTACCAAGGCAGATTCTCACATAGCGCACGCATGTTCAAGGAGTGTTGTCATAGTTGGACAGCTCAGATCTGTTAGCGGAGGTAAGGCACACACACCAAATGTTCAGGAAATGGTTAATACAGCGAAAATCAAAGCTGACGATCTCTTGGTTTGATATGTTTTCTCCCCCAGACAACATGGACATAAGAACATTTTTTTCAAAGAAGAGGAAAGTAAGTCATCAGCTGGTAGCAGTTAATCAGTTAACAGTGATGGCGGCGTCTCAATTCTGGAGAGGAGTTTCGTCTTTATGTCATGGTAGAGAGATACAAATACTGAATAGTTTAGATGAGAAAAGGCATCGAAATGCCAGGTTACTAGTATTTATCATGTAAACAGGGAACATGAATAACCCGATCTCTCTGTGCTCATGTAAACACCATATCCCCAATATGATCATACCCGGGATAATACTCATAAACGGCTTACTGATGTCCATGTAGAGACGCAGTCAGTGTGTTTTACTGGAGCCTCAGTTCGATAAGAGATTATTTTCTGAGTTCTTTAACTTAGGTACTCTCTCTCAAAAATGGTAATGTGCATTATGTTTTAATTATACTTCTTATCATTCAGAAGCTTTTTGTGTGTGTTTATGTTTTACTGAGTGCTTATAGGCTATTTCCATCCCAGTATTCAGTTAACTATTTATTTTCTGTGCACATTACATAGACTAGCTAATATTCTACCTACTGCTTGGGACTTTGAGTCTTCAAAATGTCCAATGTCACAGACTAGGACTTACTTTAGAGTCAGTTGTATTTACATTCAGTATGACTTGTTATGATTCAATGTGAAAGAGTATACTGCTCAATAAATAATTATCACTTCACCACCTCTCTTGACATCTAGGCACTTGAGAGTGAGTCAGAGGCAGAATGCAGGGACAGTGGAGAGAGGTCCATTGCTGAGGTGAGTGATGAAAGGGAAATGACAGTTGAGAGTAAATTGTGATGTGGACTCTCATCCCAGGATTTTAAGGAAATCAGTGGGGATATTGAACAGGAAACATTTCAGTCAAGGGGCATCATATGACCAATATAGACAGAAGAGCAACATTTATTTGAACATTTAAGTCAATGATACCATTCCTAGGTGAACTTAACATCTGTATGGAGTCAGATCAGTCTCAATATTAATAAATGCTCACAGAAGGATTCACAAATGTATTTTGCGATTTATATATAAATGACTCTCCACAACAATATCTCTCAATGCACTCACAAATATTTATTGTTGTATATAAATGTACAAAAAATGGGCATTTAAACTGCTTTTTATTAATTCAAAGACAGCTCTGAATTAATAATCAAATATGTTTCCTTTCTTTACTACTGGATGAAATTACAAAATGTACCCATCATTTTCCTCATGCTAGTATAGCCACATAAAAGTATCAAACCACCTGTTAAAATGCACCAGAATACAGGAAATCTATATTTTTGTTCACCCCCCATTAAAAATGTCCCCCCCACATTCAGGATGCTTCCTACGCCCATGGGTGGAAGTGTGTTACTGTAGTGTAGTACAACAACAAAAACACAATGAACTCAGTGCTGAGGTCTCTATGGTATTATCCTGTTAAACTTGCATTAAATACCACAGTACTATTTTTGCAATGCCATTTATTGACTATTTTTAGATCTGGCTCAAAAGGCCTTATACCAATGTGATGATATTTCATGCATTACTTTGAGCAACAAATAAAACAGCAGTTATTGTTTTTTAGATTCTAAAATCAGATCAAATGTAATCCTGCTGACCTTAACATATACTGAGTTTTGAACCACTGAAATAATTTTTTTTTTAAAAAGGCCATTTGTCATTTTTCTTTAATCTTGCCTGATTTATAGATTGGTTTTGATCCTTGACATACGGAAACACATCAAGTTTTCTATTGTTTTTTTAAGACTTGTTTCCTGTCATCTGAAATAACACTGAACACATTACTCACACAAACAACAAAGACCAGTGACCTTGAAATTAGTATATTTATTTTTTATTTAAAATTGTACTTGTCAAGAACGTTATCTTGGATGAAAGACAACATATTTAATCCGTTTCACATTGAGTTCTTGTTTAGTTCAGTGATTATAAAAATGTGCTGGGATGGAAATAATTTGAAAAGGCATTTTTTCAAAGTATAAGAAAAGGAGGGTTTCGTGTATGCATGATGAGTTAAAACTGAGAACCTGGGAAGAGGTGTATTCTGGCTTTTTGCCAACCCCCGTTAGTCATGTGACCCTCATCACATTTCACCCTGTTGTTTCTACCACACACACACACAACACACATAAGTGTTGACACCATGCAAACAAATGTAGGACATCATGTTGATTCAGCGTTTTATATCACAAAGGGGGAAACTAGTTTTATACAAATATGGCAAAACTACAGGAAGAAAATGGTAGGGCTTAAATCCAACTGTTATATCCTTAAAACATTTCATGAAATCAAACCTAATTTGTCCTTATATTAGTTGTTGGCATAAATACTTGTATAATGCTAAACTCTGTAGTAGTTACCTCATTGTAAAGAGTAGTTTTTGTGTTATAGTGACTGCCTTCACTCGTAAAAGTGAATGCTATCTCACTGATATCAGCCCCACTGTTTTCTGCTCTACAGCCAATATCCAATCACTGATAGTGGAAACAAACATTTCATCCTACAAACTTTTACACAAAAAGCCATCAACTTATATTTTATTTAATGTGAATTAGCCACAGGAAATGTGTCATGAAATACAAATGATGTGTAAACCAGGCCTTTCTGTTCAGTGTTTAGTGCTGGAGTCCCTGCTTTCTCAGACCAAACATCTAGTTTATTTTACTGTTTTCTTAACTCACAATCACATATTTACAGATGTCTTTGATTCATAAGCCATTTACCAGTAATCAATATAAAACCTGGCATGTAGATATACAAGTTAACAGTTATTAACCAAACCATTTTAACACAAATGAGGATTTATCATATTATTTAACTTCATTTTACTTTTTCTAGCAGTATAACTATTACACATATTTTACAGTACACAGTAGAGGCATTAAAAGGCCTTTCTCTAAAACAATTGATTATAAAACATTTAATGTTATTATCAATTCTAACTATAGTTACAATAAATCTGTAGCTTTATCCAACGTTCATATAGATATTCTCCACATGTGTTACGATAAAGTGTTGAAGAGATAATTATTTGATTGTTGAGTTGAATAAATCATCCACTTATGTGCTGTATACAGAATCTAAACCATATGTTAATCAATCACCAAAGTACATTTTGGTAGAAAATTAGATGGAAACTACAGTTTTGACTCCAAATATTGATGTTTGTTCCCTTGAATGAAAACAAATCAACACATTAAATAAGATGAGTGATTAGTTGACAGGAGAGATGATCAGAGGTGCAGCGTTTTTACGGCCATATTTAGCACCAGGACTGAAGTATGGGTAGAGTTTCTCAGTGAAGTAGCAGCCAGTAAAGGAGTAGATAAGAGCTGCAGCATCTACGTCATAAAAGGAGACCAGACCCTCCTCATAATTCACAAACACCCCCACCTTCTGAGGCTGGGACTTCAGATAAAGACAGACTGCAGGATCAGCATTGGCATTGTAGTAATTTCCCTCTCTCAGCCATATAGCCCAGAAACCATCTTCAGAGCTCGTTGTGATCTCTCCCTTCCTGTTGATCGACTCTCTGACCACTCCTAAATCCCACTCGGTTTTTCCTTTAACTTGAACCTCAAAGTAAAATCTGCCTGAAGAGAAACTCTGCTTTCCTAAAACACAGAGATCATCAGAAAATCTTTCTCTGTAGTCTGGGAGATTCTTTAACACATCACCATCACGGACATGTTTTCCATCGTGCGACAGAATGAGACCAGGATGTGCTGTATTAGGATCAAGAGTCACATCCACTGCGTACCTCTGGACCCTCTTCAGCTCAGCTTCAATCACCTTCTTCATCACTTCACTGAACGTCTCCTCCAGCTGACCCACAGCTCCCTTCACAGTCCCTTCATATGATGATGGAGGGATGCTGACCTTTGTCCAGTCCTTGGTGGGTGATGGGTGTTGGATGTTTAAGGACTGGACACCCTGGAGAAGCTGGAGGTGGTCTTCAGACCGTGAGAGCTGCTCAACCTTAGCACCTCTCTTCTTTAGTTGAGAGATTTCCTGTTCTAGCTCTTTGATGAAGTCTTCAGCCTGTTTCATTCTCATGTTCTGCTTCCCTTCTATTGTTTGGATGAACTCATTCAGGTTTCTCTCAACAGACTCCTTCAGAGCAGTGAAGACCTGAACTCCTTCTGCTACCTCTCTGTCTGCGTCTTCCTTACTGAGGTCCACTGAGTGTTTGATCTCCTCAATCTTCAGTTGTCTCTTCTGGATCATCTGCTGAATTCTAGCCTCTTTCTTTCCCAGCGCTGCCTTCTTCCCTTCATATTCTTCTTTCAGAGGAACCACATCATGCGTCTTATGGTCTGAAACATGGCAGAGCTTACAGGCACATGTCTGGTCGGTCTTACAGAACAGCTCCAGAGGTTTATCGTGCTTCGGACACATCCTGTCTTCCAGGTTCTCCACAGGGTCGATCAGCTGATGTCTTTTCAGGCTTGAAGCTGTCAGATGAGGCTCCAGGTGAGTCTCACAGTAGGAGGTCAGACACACCAGGCAGGACTTCAGGGCCTTCAGTTTGGTTTCAGTGCAGACGTCACAGGGAACTTCTCCTGGTTTGAAGACTTGTTGCTCTGAGCTGCTGCTGCTGCTGCTGCTGGCTTTCTGTTGAGCCGACTGTCTGAACTGAGCTACCATCTCAGAGATGAAAGTGTTAACGTGAAGCTCAGGTCTTGCGTTGAACTCTTTTTTACACATGGGACACTGGCACCTGTCACTTCTATCCCAGTGTTCAGTGATGCAGTCTTTACAGAAGTTGTGTCCACATGGAATGGTGACTGGATCAGTGAACAAATCCAGACAGATGGAGCAGAGGAACTGATCTTCAGATGGCAGGTAGCTTGCAGCAGCCATATCTACACACAATGTGAAAGAAAAGAGAAAACATTTGATACATCAATCATCAATTCATATTATATATTGTTTTAAAGAAAGTTTGATCACTTTTAACAAGCCACACTGAAAAAATGGGAAACAGCAGGTCTTTGAATTTACTAAATTAAATTAGTGTATGCAACGCAATTTCTTTATATTCCTCCTGTGAACTTGATTCAATCAAATAATCCTCATTTGTTTATGGAGAATGTTACATTTATTAGATTACTTTACATCGACTGAACGCGATTGAATTGAACAATTTAAATCAATGTGATCAAGTTTGGTCACCACCGGAAATAGAATATATTCAAAATGCGCCAGGACGGGTGTGATTGGTTCTCCGGTGCAGAAGGCGGCGGCAATGCACCAATGCAACAATTTCGAAAAAAAGCAGAAGAAGAAGTGACAAAACCGCGAAAAAGAAGATTCTGGAAGCTACGCCACAGTTGCCTCTGTGAGAGACAAAAAACGTAAGTTCATTACATAGATCTTTTGTACAAGAATGATAATTTTCACTATATAGCTGTTTTAGTTTGATATGTGACAATTCGAAGGAGCTGTTTGTGTACCTATACTGTATATCGCTATGTATTGCTAATGCTATCTAGTTCAAACTAACATTAGCAATTGCTATCAATTAGGGCTGGGCAATATATCCAATATACTCTGTGTATTGTGGCTTGTTTTACGTAAAATGTATAAGATTACTCAACACACTCTCACTCCCTAAGCGTCCAGGAGCGACGCTTGGTCAGGGTCCCGTGGCGTCCAGTTGTGACGCGCCGAGGCTCCTTCAGCTTCATAAACGGACGCAAAGAGCTTTCAACTGATTGCAATGTATTCCCATCGGCGGCGGTATTTGACGCTTAGGGAAGCACGGCATTTGTTTGTGTTGGAGGCTGTTAAAGGCAATGTGAGCGTCCATTCCCATTGGATAACGGAGAATTGTACACCCGGAAGTAAGTATTCCCCTTACTGTCGATTGATTTGACAGTGATATCTCCACTACTCATCAACTCAAAAACACCAGATTATCCTTGTTAATTAAACGACATTGATAGGTTTTAGTGTGTGTACAATGCTTTTGTCACGTTTTCCCCTTCAATTCTGAGAAACAAGTCGTTTTCTATGAGTTTTGGATGGCCGAAGACATTACATTACCCACAATCCTCTGTAGCAACCATAGACTGTATACAAAAATGTAATAATACATTATTCCGAGTGTGCTTGCTTTTCTCTTCAAAAACACCAGATTATCCTTGTTAATTAAACGATATTGATAGGTTTCAGTGTGTGTACAATGCTTTTGTCACGTTTTCCCCTTCAATTCTGAGAAACAAGTCGTTTTCTATGAGTTTTGGATGGCCGAAGACATGACATTACCCACAATCCTCTGTAGCAACCATAGACTGTATAAAACAATTAAATAATACATTATTCCGAGTGTGCTTGCTTTTCTTTTTGAAAGTCATCACATAACGGCATTGTAATACACGTTTCGGCTGCATTAAATATGACATATCTGCCGTAGTTAACTCTGCCCTGATGACAAGACTTCTAGACAAACAGGAACTGCCGCCAAAACTGAAAACTTGACGTGGATCTTAAATATATAAGCAATTAAACAACATCTTACATTTCTTTTAACACAATACGTCTCCTTGCAGTATCAACACTAATTCGGCTGACTTTTATATTTGATCCAATTGGTAGATAGGCTGTATTTACGCCATAACGGTGCACAGCTGATAGAAAGGGACACCTACTGGTTAAAGCACGTTATTGCATTTTATAATTGTATTATTAGATATTAATAGGATCCCTATAAAGTATATTCTTTACTCGTCGTTATTCTCTAATAATAGTTAATTAAAGACTGTATATAATGACTATTTTGCACATCCCATTCAAGATTTTCTAAGGTTTATTGACATTAAAGACTGTATATAATGACTATTTTGCACATCCCTTTCAAGATTTCAAGATTTTCTAAGGTTTATTGACATATCATATTATACACAACTACGGTGTAGTTATGCAATGAATGAAAAACTTGGGTCGCAGGTTCCTCAACAGTGCATTACAAGACATCTATCAATATGTGTGTACCTCCACCATTACATTGTCATATTCTGCACATTTCTTATACTATCTACATACATCTTATAAGAGTATAATACACATGTATAATATCAGTTAAAATAAGTGCTTAAACATAGTTAACATGGCAGGAAAGCAATATATTAGACGTTAAGTACTTTGTCAGGCTTAATATTTATCTGTAGATACAAATTTCACTGTGTGTGCTGTGTGCTCTGCATGTGTGACCATCAAAGAGGGTTTCATCCCTCCATATTCATCTTCTATACCCCCAAAGCTTTTTTCTTATTCAAAAGAAGACCTTAACCTAAAGTATTCTTTAATGTTTAAATAAGCCTTATTAGTTTGTCTGTTTTGCACATCCTCCTATTAATATCTAATAATAAAATTATAAAATGCAATAACGTGCTTTAACCAGTAGGTGTCCCTTTCTATCAGCTGTGCACCGTTATGGCGTAAATACAGCCTATCTACCAATTGGATCAAATATAAAAGTCAGCCGAATTAGTGTTGATACTGCAAGGAGACATATTGTGTGAAAAGAAATGTAAGATGTTGTTTAATTGCTTATATATTTAAGATCCACGTCAAGTTTTCAGTTTTGGCGGCAGTTCCTGTTTGTCTAGAAGTCTTGTCATCAGGGCAGAGTTAACTACGGCAGATATGTCATATTTAATGCAGCCGAAACGTGTATTACAATGCCGTTATGTGATGACTTTTAAAAAGAAAAGCAAGCACACTCGGAATAATGTATTATTTAATTGTTTTATACAGTCTATGGTTGCTACAGAGGATTGTGGGTAATGTCATGTCTTCGGCCATCCAAAACTCATAGAAAACGACTTGTTTCTCAGAATTGAAGGGGAAAACGTGACAAAAGCATTGTACACACACTAAAACCTATCAATGTCGTTTAATTAACAAGGATAATCTGGTGTTTTTGAGTTGATGAGTAGTGGAGATATCACTGTCAAATCAATCGACAGTAAGGGGAATACTTACTTCCGGGTGTACAATTCTCCGTTATCCAATGGGAATGGACGCTCACATTGCCTTTAACAGCCTCCGACACAAACAAATGCCGTGCTTCCCTAAGCGTCAAATACCGCCGCCGATGGGAATACATTGCAATCAGTTGAAAGCTCTTTGCGTCCGTTTATGAAGCTGAAGGAGCCTCGGCGCGTCACAACTGGACGCCACGGGACCCTGACCAAGCGTCGCTCCTGGACGCTTAGGGAGTGAGTGTGTGTTGGATTACTGTATTGCAAACATCGAGTATAGCTTGTCTTGTAAATATTTTTTTAGCCACCGTCATGAAATTTGCTTTGGCGTTTGCTCCTCTGGCTGCTGTCTCCCGACACAGACACAGACACAGACACAGACACACAATGCCCCTCCTGTCTATCCAACCCAGTCTCACGGCATTTCGTGTTATAGTCACGACATTCAATCTATTGATTCGTGTTCACCATCACGATTTTCCCCTTTCTTTTCGTGTCACACAGAACGAAAAGCAATGTATTTCTATTGGTAGTATGTTTTGTGCCTGCAACACGTCTTTTTGTCCGGTCGGGTCTTGGAAGACCGGAAGCTGTGGGGTTCATAAAAAACATGTTCTTACTCAATATCAAGCCACGATTATTATTTTTATTTTAAATCGTATAATGTCTGACTTTTTTTTGCCGTCTGTGAGGAAAATAAATGGGGCTCAGAGCCTCAGAATACTGAAATCTGTATTTTTTAAATCTTTTTTTCCTTCTAATTTGTTATAATTTTCTAAATAACACACTGTTATTTACTCAACAATAACACACAATTATCCTTGTTTTTATTAATTTTTTTAAGTCCATAAACTCGGGCTTTTTTGGCGTCTGTCAGGAACTGAATTTCAAAATAAAATAACCGGACACAGACGTAGGCCTATATGGGACATTTCGAGCATCATTGCGATAGACAGCCACTGAACTGATTACCCAAGATCTTCAGCTTTGGTTTAAGCTCGGTGATTGGATGTTTTAGCCGCAATGCATGTTGGGATATGGTGTTAATGCGATATGAAATCCGAAAAAAAATTCGGAGTTTAGGATGGCCGAAGAGACTACACTACCCATAATCCCCAGCTATCGTTTGGGACTACAGTCCCCGTGATTAATCTTCAAGCTCTGGGATTGGATATTGGAGTGGCAGTGCGCCAAGGTTACGCCGAGCGTCAAACAGCTCTTTGAAATGGAACGAAACCACGGCAGACTATCCAAAACTGGAATCGAACGGGACCAGCCCCCCCCAGAACTACACATGCTGGCTATTGTGTTTTGCAAAATGTTCTATGGGACGTCTCTACTGGGAACGTTTTCGTTTTTCCCACAATTAGAAGTTGCCAGTATTAAACACATTGGTGTTATCAAATTTAAAACATATAATTAATAAATGGGTGAAAATCGCTTGTGTCCATAATGGGCAGCATTAATATATACCCACATGACAGCTCATTGTTACTTTGTAATTATACTTTACTACAATTCAGAGGTTAACCTGGTATGTTTACTCCACAACATTTATTTTAGTTACTTTGCAGATTCTGATTAATAATGTGAAATATAAACAACCCTTAAACCAGACTTTAGTTACACCTGAGTCAAATTCAGGGAAGGTGATTGTCAAGTGCCAACAATCAGGAGAGATATTTGGTGCTTGAGAAGACTAAACATTTATCTGCAGATCCCTATAAAGTCTATTCATTACTCGTTATTCTCTACTAATATGTAATTAAAGACTGTATATAATGGCTATTTTGCACATCCCTTTCAAGATTTCAAGAAGGTTTATTGACATATCATATACACAACTACGGTGTAGTTATGCAATGAATGAAAAACTTGGGTCGCAGGTTCCTCAACAGTGCATTACAAGACATCTATCAATATGTGTGTATACCTCCACCATTAAACTGTCATATTCTGCACATTTCTTATACTATCTACATACATAAGGGTACAATTCGTATAATATCAGTTAAAATAAGTGCTTCAACATAGTTAAAGGTGGAGTAGGTAAGTTTGAGAAACCGGCTCGAGATACACTTTTTGTTATATTCCATGGAATGCTCTTAACATCCCGATAGCAATGAATATCTTAAGTGCTTTGACAAAAAATCCATAACAAATTGTCATCTGTGGAAGCCGTAATACTGTAAAAAGTACGACCAATCATTTTAGCCGGCCCGGCTAAAATAACTGGATGGCCTACCTGCCTGTCAGCCTTCCATCTGTGCACAAACTTATCTCGTGCCCTCTTTGGTCATGTGCTTGTTCGTGTGTGTTGGAGGAGGGGCTCTGTAAGGAAGTGGCAGATTTTTTCCGGCTGTGTATTTTCAAATTCTAGCTGGTTTCTCCAAAATTACCTATCCCACCTTTAACATTGCAGGAAAGCAATATATTAGACATTAAGTACTTTATCAGGCTTAATATTTATCTGTAGATACCCCCAAAGCTTTTTTCTTATTTAAAAGAAGACCTTAATCTAAAGTATTATTTAATGTTTAAATAAAGGTTAATTCGTTTTTCTGTTTTGCACATCCTTCTATTAATATCTTTGTATATCCGGCAGTATACTGTTTTATTGTAGAGATCACTTACAGTATCTTCTTGATTTTTTATATTCTATATTTCTATCATTGACCTTCTACTTTCCCCCTATGAAAGTATGTACTCTTAATATTTTTTTCATCAAATAACATTATTCAACAAAAATAACATTATTCAACAAAAATAATTCAATAACGTGCTTTAACCACACATTGTGTGTTTCGCAACATGTTCTATGGCACGTCTCTACTGGGAATTGTAGTTTTAAAAGACATTTTCGTATTTCCCATAATAAGAAGTAGCCAGTATTAAACTGTGTACATCCCTGGAGGTTTAGGGGATAGGAAACACTCAAATTTAAAACATATAATTAATAAATGGGTGAAAATGGCTTGTGTCCATAATGGGCAGCATTAATATATACCCACATGACAGCTAAGGTCAGAAGAGCTTTATTTAACAGCTGGTCTTATGTCTGTGACCCCTCCTGTTGTAAATTGATAAGCCTGAAACATGCACTTGTCAAGGTTCAGAGGCACATTTTAAAAATATGGCAGTTGCCATCGATCGTCTTAAGATAAGATATACTTTATTGATCCCAAGTTGGCGTTACAGCAGCATGTGTAACAGTTGTAAATATGCAGTGGTGTTTATTTGTAAATCATTTAGTATAATCACACAAATTCTGTGTTTTATATTGAATAATTCTGTGTTCTTTATTCATTGAATGTTCAATACCTGACAAGGTCAGAGATGAAAAACGTGGGTCGCAGGTTCCTCAACAGTGCATGACAAGACATCTATCGATGTGTGTGTACCTCCACCATTAAACTGTCATATTCTATCTACATACATCTTATAAGAGTATAATACATATGTATAATATCAGTTAAAATAAGTGCTTCAACATAGTTAACATTGCAGGAAAGTTGATTGTCAAGTCCCAAAACAAATGATGTGACGACCCCTCCACACTACGTGGGGTGCCCAAACACACACGCATCACTTCAGGGGACATTACATTGACTTCCATGCATTTCCTGGAGACTTATCCTAACCGTAACATCCCTAACCAAGTCTTCACCCTAAAAGTAATGAGTCTTATGGGGACTTCCCTTATGTCCCCACACGTGACTGTGTAAACAGATGTCCCCACAAGGACACACACACACACACACACACACACACACTTTCCACAGAGGGGAAATTTACAAAGTACTAAGAGCTGATACAAAGAGACTGTTTAAGCTGTTTAAAGTGGACTCTATATCATATGGTTATGTTGTTAGAGAAAAACAAGTTGGACGTAAAGGGTTTACTGTAGATTTTTTCGTCTGAGTAGAGCTGAAGTTTTGTGTTAATCCTTCTTGTTGAAAGTGTAAATATAATCATCTGTACTCACCAGTGTTTGACAGAGACTCTGCTGTGTTGTTGAGAAAGATCTGATGAACTCAGTTTGTATTTTCTTTAGACAGAAACGGAGACTAGTCTCGACTGCAGTGTGGCTGCCTCTCTGACTAACTTAACTTTTGTACCTGAGTGTGACGTGTAAGCTCTCCTCTTCCCAGTGTTGTTCCTCCTCTCACTGTCTGCTGGTTTGTTCCCTCCCTCTGATCAACAAGGTTTTCTCTGATAGTTAAGGAGCAAAGGTTCAGCTTCACAGGTGTGTCAAGCTGTTTCTTATCTTCATTATGATCAAGTTTTACTTTAATCAGAAGAGTTCAGTTACATTTATTGGACACACATGTCAGTTAAATGTCATGGATGACATAATCCACATCCATACAACAAGTACAATATGTATCCACTCTAAATCAGAAATCTATATACAATAAAATAAACCAAAGGCCTTTTAGACATTGAATATGTAACATTAGTGGTCATGATAACAAGGAAGAAGAGTGTTTTCTCTCAGGCAGTGTTACGACCCGGCTCAAAAGGCCACAACAAAGAGGAGACACACCTGTCAACGGTTACTAAAATATGTTTATTTAACCAAACAATTCAAATTAGCCAAATCAAATGAAGTGCAACAATAAGTAAAGCATGAGGTGTGGACGTCAGTGGTATCAGTAGTGTAAATGCAGGGTGAGGGTTGCATGGACGTGTATGTGTGAGGGTGTTGAGGTGCACAAAGTAAAGCAACTAAAGTAACAACAGCATATACTCAACAAAACCGGAGGCCTGTAGGGAAAAGCAGAGAGAGCACAGAGAGGGGCAGAGAGGCTTTAAATAGCTGCAGGACACCAGACCCAGGTGCCCTGAGTTACTGCAATCAACACAGCCCAGACAGGACAGCCACACCCTCTCTAATGATGGACCCACAGGGGCATCACAGGCAGCATCCCTTATGGATTATTATGGCATTTTGTTGCCTGAATTAAAGCAATCATATTATCCTGTTCTCCCTTTTTCCTCGTGAGATATTGGGTCTCGATTGATGAGGCTGTTGCCTAATGCTGAAACATAACAACATGTTAAATGTCCTCATTAAGCTAAGAAAAAAAGAGACAGTAGAGAATGATATCTCCCAGTGATTGAACCTCTTAAATCAAGGTTACTTTACATTAAGTTGCAAAATATATAAGAATATGTCTTAGCTACTCAAATATATAAAACATTTCACCTGAGGAAATCTCTGTGCAAACATCTCTGTATCTTATTCACAATATTATTGTTGTTGTTATATCACTGATATTTAGTTTTTGTCTTTGAAACTTATAAATTCAAGAATTCCATAAAAATACAATCCAAAATTCAGATTATGTACCAACATTAATTATTATTATTATTGTAGTTATTATTAGTAGTAGTGTTATTAGTATTACTATGATAAAAGTTATTATAATACAATTATTATTATTTTATTATAATAAACCTATTATTTAATTATTATTATTATTATGTATTATAATAATAATAATATATTTTATTACATTTTTGTAATCATTATTATTTAATAATAATAATAATATTTTAGTAGAATTGGTAAACCCTATTTTTAGGTTTTTATATTAAAAGCAGAACCTCTTTACTTCCTGTATTAGTCTTTTATTTTATATTATATTATGATTGATCTAGTCTATATTGTGTTGAATTGTTGGAGGAGCCTGATCTCTATGGTTTCCCTTGCCAAAGCTGTGCTGTATCGAGTCCACATTTCACAAATCTCACAGATCAGATCTGATTATTGATCACTCAGAAACACTTTGACTTCCTGTTGCTGACGGCTGTTTGTCCCGCAGCTCCCCGGCTAAACAGGCCGAAACTCACTCAGCCAGTCCAACATCTTCCAGCTTCAACATTCTTCAAATGCCAACTGCTGCCCACCCTGAGTCCTGAAGCTTATTTGATCTCATTATTTGACCTTAAGGGATATAGGCCTACACTGTGGCCCTAAAGCAACTGCTCCATTATCTGTATCAAATGCACACATTGATGCTACCAAATGTCATAATAAAAATAGAAAGTACTACAAATAAACTGGAATTAATTTACATCTTAAATTATTAATATATATACACAAAAAAAGGTTTACAAATATCCAACCTTCAAATTGCTTTTTAAATCAACACTGCTCTGCACACTTGCTAAAGAACATTTGTGTGGAAATCTCAATTCATTTGTAGGGCTGCGTGAGTATGGCCCAAAGTATGGGAGTAAATCTCACTGTAAACTATTTAATCATCACCAAATTCTGTGTTATTATGACCGATCATAACTCAGCTTTATGCAGACATACATTTAGCATGGTGTACAGGGCCGGTTTTTGGCATAGGCGACATAGGCGGTCTGGGGGGGAAAAAACCCTTTTTGACTGTTTGCGCTCACCCTAATTTTCAGGCTTGATGTAACAACATTCATAATTAAGTAAATGTAACACCCTTTTCACCCAGGTTACACTTTTCATTTGCCCTGTACGATGGGCGCTGTAAGTGATGAAAGTGGGGGGTGTTGGCTTATCAGGCGTCCACAGCTCACAGCCAAAGTGGGCGTGGGATCGAGCGAGAGAGATAAATGTAATTTATGTAAACAAATATTTCCAAGGCACTCCTTTATAATTATTTGGATAAACAGGTTTGAAATCATTTCAATGCATACTATAGGACAGTAAACCAAAAATATCGTTTAAAACTTGAGAGATATAAAAATATGCATAAATAAATGTTAACTAGGTAAAATAAGATATAAATGAACAACAAAAATAAAATACATTACATTTATTTGTTATTGGCTATGGAAGGTTTTTGGGTTATGTTCACATACTTATTTGATTATTAAAATGTAAACCGATCTTTTTCATATGGGTGTTTTAGAGTTGTACCCCCTAGATCTAGTCTCTAGTAATGTGTGCTTAAAGTGCACCAGATTGAAGCATTTTACTTTACATTTTCAAACATTTCTTCCCGGGGGGGCATACCCCCGGCCCCCCCTACAGGATGTGACGTCCACACCCCAATTAAAACATGTTCATAATACTGAATACATTTGAAGCCTTTTTGATCTATATTACCTATGTCAATAAGTTTCAGTTTGTGTAGTGTATTGGTCTTTTGAAGAGATTTTTCATTTATTCTTTATATATTCTATTGTGTATTGCTGGGATACCTTTATCTTTTCTACTGTACGATTGAAGTAAATGTGGGAAGCGTTTAACAACAGCCATTTACTTCAAAGATTTTTCTCAATGTTATTCTTATTTTTGTTAATCCTGGAAGAATGCCAGAAAAAAAGACATTCTCTTCAAGAATAAAAAAAAACATGACATTAGTAATTGTGATAACAAATTAAACAAGTTCTGGGGGGCGCTGCGCTGGCAGCTCTGGGAGAGAAAAAAACTTTTTGACTTTTTGCGCTCATCCTAATTTTCGGCCTTGATGTAACAACATTCATAATTAAGTAAATGTAACACCCTTTTCACCCCGGTTACACTTTTCATTTGCCCTGTACGATGGGCGCTGTAAGTGATGAAAGTGGGGGGTGTTGGCTTATCAGGCGTCCGCAGCTCACAGCCAAAGTGGGCGTGGGAGCGAGAGAGAGAGATAAATGCAATTTATGTAAACAAATATTTCCAAGGCACTCCTTTATAATTATTTGGATAAACAGGTTTGAAATCATTCCAATGTATACTATAGGACAGTAAACCAGAAATATCGTTTAAAACTTGAGAGATATAAAAATATGCATAAATAAATGTTAACTAGGTAAAATAAGATATGAATGAACAACAAAAATAAAAGTTACATTTATTTGTTATTGGCTGTGGTAGGTTATTGGTTATGTTCACATATTTGATTATTCAAATGTAAACCGATCTTTTTCATATGGGTGTTTAGAGTTGTACCCCCTAGATCTACGTAGTCTCTAGTAATGTGTGCTTAAAGTGCACCAGATTGAAGCATTTTACTTTACATTTTCAAACATTTCTTCACACAAACACACACACGCACGCACACACACACACACACACACACACACACACACACACACACACACACACACACACACACACACACACCGCTGCAGACTCTGCACGAAGGAGCCGCGGTGCTGCAGCTCCTGATCGGAGCAGAGACACACGTTCACTAAGCGGAAAAACTATATCCTCACAGAGATCTGCTATTTTAAAGTAAAGTCAACACATATCGACCCTAAATAAAGTCTATATTAAGAACGAGAGATGGTTTAACATATGGCTTAAACAAATGACAAATGAGCGAGGGTGATAACGTCAGAGCATCGTCCTACTGTATGTGCCGGGGCTGAGCCCCGGAAAGCCCCGGCCCAATTTAACCCCTGCTTGTAGCAGAGACCCTGATGAGTAGTTGAATAAGAGCTGACGACTGTATGAGTTTAATATTTATTTACTGTATAGAGAAACAGAATTGTCTCCACTGTCGAAACACTACTGCAAAACTTGCATGCCTTGAGTTTGATTTAAGGATTATGAAATGTTGCCCTTCCAGTTTTGCCCCGCCTCTTACTGCAGCTCTTTTGGTTAGGTTTTTATCTTCCTCATGTTTAGACATTATTAACCCTTGTGTTGTGTTCGAAAGCTGTTACTGTTCATGGTGTCAATTTTGACCCATGATGTATCTCAGTCCAAAACACTCCAAAATAATGACTATCATCCAATATTGTTTTAACTACATCATAACTAACTTATTATGCATTCATAACCGTCCTGTTGTAATTTTATTTGATGGCCCCAAAACACATCACACCACATATTTAAGTAAAACATTTGATTATATTCGCTCATTATATTCCTTATGGTGAAGACAGTGGATAATGATGTTACCTGACTATAATAGACTTAATAGACTTAACATTATTGTTACAGTGGATGAAGGGGTGTCTAAAGTCAAAGATTAATCTTGATTGGGCCAAATTTGACCCCGAGTCACCCAAAACAATTCTGCTGGGTCTCCCCAGACCCGAACACCAAATTATACACTTTTTTTTTTAGAGACTTTCAGACTTGGCTAAAATTATCAAAATCAGTTTTGTAGAGTTTATATAGCTGTTGTGGAGGATATCATGAAGCCTTGTTCCGATAAAAAAAAACTAGAGCGTAGTTATTATATAATTTGAACTTGAAACGGGTCACGGGAGACCCGAACACAACATAAGGGTTAAAGTGACATACACATTTTCCCTGGCTTAAAAGCAAAAGGGGATACTGTTCCAGTTTAAATTTGACGTTTTTAATATGTGAATTTCTGATTCCAATTGTGTGTACTGGGCATTTAAAAAAACAAACAAGGAAACTGTTTACCCATTCAAATCACAGACCAGTTTAGTCGACTTGTATTGTTACAGGTCTACGTGTTGCAGGGAGCTTTGATAGTCTGATCCTTTGCT